CATTATAAAAGTATTATAAAGTAGAAAACCCTAACTCTGTGTTGTATTTAATCAGTACTAACTATAAATTTCTTCAATTGTATACCACTTTGTGTTGGTCTTTCACATTAAATTCCAGTGAAATATATTTATGTTTGTGGTTGTAATGTGACAAAATATGGAAAAGTTCAAGGGGTATGAATACTTTTGCAAACCACTGTATTATCAACTTGTGTCCGGTCATCTCATGATACTTTTCCAGAAAAAAACATTAAAGGCAAAATGATTACAAACATGCCAATTTGAACGCTACATGTCAATGTTTCATAGATTTATTACCAAACTAAAACACATACAAATGATACTGAACCCCTATATTACTTGTATACTAGACCTCTAAATGAATCAAAAGGAAGAAGCAGACAATCTATTATCTATCAAAAATATAAACTAATCAAGGTAAATTACAGTGTGAGTTTCTGTGTATTTGATGTGCGTTCAGCACGCTAAGGATGGTAAAGTAATCAGATCCTAATGAAGATAAAACTAGGTCAGAAAAAAAAAAAAAAACATCCCACCCCTTTAGGTCTAAATATAATATCAACATCTCTACCCAGTTGTCCCATTAGGGGGTGATGAGGGGCTTCTAAAATAGATTACATTATATGTTTGCTCTAGTTAATTTTGATTATTATCTTTGGATGCTGTTTGAGTCTGACAGTGAAGTTTTACCACGTCAAAGTTATTTAAAATTTTTGCTTGAAGCAGCTTCGACATACAATGGAACTGTCAGGTTGCTGAAGAGTCTGGTTCTAAATTACTACAGTTTCTATTTCACAACAGTCAGTAATTGTGGCTTTTTTATTATTATTATTTTATTTAAAATGTTTAAATTGAACAAGTAAAATTAATTGCATGAAGAAATTATTTTTACTATCACAATTTTGGAAAATCGGTACATTCTACATTACACACCAAACCTCAAGTCCCCCTATATCCCTTCTTTGCATAAAAATTGCATAGAGTGCGTGTTATCACATATTGCACAGTAAAATAATTATGAACTTGTTGCTACTGTACAGTGAATAACTGAGCCAGGGAGCTCAGCTCATTTGCATACTGAAACAGCTTGAGGCTGAAAGAAACTTGGCATTTCTCAGAAGAACATGAAGCTTGCATGAAAGCCTTACTTTACCTCTTTAAGTCACTACAGAAATGACAGGCAGACATCTATCACCTTTTTTCAATAAATGACTCATATATAACAATAAATCATTCATGTATAATACTAGAAATTTAACCCTAAAATCATCCATAAAGTAGGGGGGTCGTATTATACTCGGGTTGTTGGTGATTCGATTTTTTATGCTTTTAAGCTCAAAAATGATGATCGTATTATACTTGAGATCGTATTATACATGAATAAATACGGTAATAAAGTCATTCATTGACAAATATATTAATTATTATTGCCTACCACCAAGGGGTGAAGGCAGACCAGTTATGGTTTTATCAGTGTCTGCTTGTGTGTAGGTTTGTTTGGAAAAATATCAGATTCCAATAAAACTACAAGCAAATCTGTACATCTATGACTGAATAACTAAAATAGCACTTAGCATCAACAGTGTAGCTGTAAGGAGAAGCACCACAACACAAATAACATTCTGGCTGGACAAAAGTGCGCTGAATAGTTTAGCAGTATCTATTTTTAATAGACAATTTGCCTTGAGGATTTTTTGTAATCAAATTACTGAAATTATCCGAGTAATTGTTTCAGCCCTACAGCTGAGTCATTCAATAAATTACTCAAGCTTTCCATAAGATTGCACACAACTTGGACAAAAATGACTATAACTTAGACATTTCTAAATTCCAGATGAAATTAGCGTAAAACTCTGTCATGAAAGGCAGCGGACAATTTGCATTTCTCAAGGAATGCTAGGCCTTTGGCTGGTATAAGAATTTAAAGTGACACTAGAGTCTTTATTCTGAATATGCTTCAAGACAAAGTCATAAGGAAGAGAAATTATTTTACAGTTGAAGTCATGCTTGGCAGTTGTCCACGATACTTGGAGTGTGAGACACCTGCCCACGTCTCATTTTGTCCCGGCACCTCTGTATCCCTGCTTACTCAGAACACAGTTTTTTTTTTCCTTTTTTTTTTTTTTTTTTTTTTGGGGGGGGGGGGGGGCGCGCTACTTCCCGTCACGAGAAATTCACCCAAAAGTGATAATGTAAGTGGAGTTCCTCATGGGAAGGCCTCCACCTTCACAAGGAATGTGTTTATATAGCGGATTCCAACACCACCCATTAAATAACCACAATTTGAAAAGGGAGATRTTTGTTTGGAGATAGGTGGCTGTTCCCTTAAAGGAGTCAGGCCATTCAGTGTGCAAATAACTGGAACAAAAACAAAGAGCAAAGTACTTTAAGTACTTGTTGAGTTCCTAGCAACACTCTTGTATTCACACTTAATACCTGTAATAAACACTTAGTATAAGCAGAATTACAAAAGAGGAATAACTTCTAAAGTTTTAACGGTTTAACTCAATACATACATTCAATACAATGATTTTACAATGAACAGATTTTACAATTTAAAATCTGTTTCGATGCAGCAGTAAATATTTTTAAGTATTTAAATAAATCTTATGCCATAGTTATCAACTATAATCATCCTATAAAATTACAACATTGGAGCAGCGTTTGTCAGAGTCGTGCAATATTGTTGTGGCGATGACTCTCACCTACCACATCACATTTGCCTAATTTAATTTGATTTACTCTGAAAGTTGTAGCAGTTGTGAATGTACATCCAATATTTATTTTCTGTGTCAATAGAATTTGTGCAGTGGTACATGAGATGTTTAGTTATCAGACAGACGCACACAGAAAAAATTATTTGCCTTCATCTGTTGGCAGCAAGCAATAATAAGCAATATACTGCACTACTGCTTCAAGAGAATAATAACTTAAAGCAAACTTAACTTCTGTTAACAACACAACAATATCATTTAGTCAAATTAGCTTTTTTCAAGTAGGAGTGTAGCATTTTTATGCCTTCTGAGGGCTTTTTGCCGCTCTAGAAATGTTTAGAAACAAGAGATCTGACCTCTCTGCCACTTCCTGTTGCACACAGCATCACATGCTGCTGACGTAGCAGTGCAGCATGGCCACAAACTTCCTGAGCCTAAAAGATTCCCCTCAACCTGCAGATTCACTCATCCAGCTCTTTAAATTTATTTCAAACCACGCGCTGAAAAAAAACAACAAGATAAGTTGTTCGGGACGAAATATAACACTTGATGACAAACCACAACCCACATTTTCCACCGTTAKCGATGGTGGAATAACATTAACTAATGATCTTTTTAAACAAAATATTGGCTTTAAATAATTTTTAAAAATAAAAATTTAATAAAATGTAACATTGTAACGAGGTGTTTGAGTGAACCAGAGGTCTGTGCAACATGGTTTCAGCAACAACTTTGCACAAGTCCAAAAAAACTCATGAACAAGACTCAAACTGTCAAACAGGGAAATGAACTGAAGACATCATCTGCTGAACGTTTTTTTTCCCATTGTGTACCTTTGWCTGTCTGTTACCAAAATATTTCATTAATTATTTAACGTTTTACCAAAACTCACGGGACATAATTTTTGGAAGTACACCTACAAGTGATTAACATTTGTATTTAAGTCATTTAAAATGGGCCAGCAAAGCTAATCAGAATTAGCTAAAATAAAAAAAGCCAGAACTCTGCCATGGTCACATATTTATCTAAAATTGTTGGGGTTGTAGCTTACTGTCACGCATAACTTATACTTTGAGCGTTAAGCCTCAAAATAGTGCACATAAYATTAGTTTAACCAAAATAGCCAAAACTGTTATTTCTCTAGACAAAATGATTTTAATACTAAACTCTGACATGAAAGGTGGTGGATGATAAGCTGTTAAACAAGGTCTTTAATTAAGTCAAAGTAAATCCATACTAGGGTTGGSCATAATCRTATCGTGTGCAATTAATCGTCAGAAAAACATTAATCGATTAATTTTTGGCAGTTGACAATTAATACGATTAATGCCACCTGGCAGACTAACTGCTTGGTGTTCCTCTCTGATTCAAATATGACCAACATTAAAAAAATTGTGTAATTTATTTATCTATCAACGCAATTTAAAGTTTGATGTATAGCCTGAAGTCTGTAATTTTGACACAATTTGGAACAGTTTTTTACGAAGAGCCAATTTTCTCCCTATAAATTGGTCATTAGGGCTGTGTATTGGCAAGAATTTGGCGATACGATACATATCATAACAGAGGGGTCACGATACGATATATCCCGATATATTGCGATACTGTAAGCAAGGCAATATATTGCGATTTTTTTGTCCAAAAATTCTATTAAATAAAAACCTCTTAATGAAAAAAAGAAAAGCTAATGTTTACTTACAATGCTAATGCTACCCTTAACTCTCTGGCGCTAAAGAGGTAGAGGAGCCACATGKCTGGCTCACTGCTGCCAACTAGTGGTCAGAGGCTGAACTACAACATAAAAATGAACGGTTGGCAGGAAAGTTGACATTTTAAACCTTAATAAAAAATCGATACAGGGCTTTAGAATATCGATACAGTATCGGGAAATGAAATATCGCGATATTTCTGTGTATCGATATTTTCTTACACCCCTATTGGTCATATGACTAGGATATAAGGGTGTCCAGGGACTCTGGGGGATTAATCGTCAAATTAATCGTTATCGGCTAAATACCACAATTAATCGTGATTAATTTTTTGCCAGTATTGCCAAACCCTAATCCATACATGGATTTTTAAAACTATATTTCTAACTAGACTTGTTAGCTAGTGATACTGTATGCAGGCTTTGCTTCAGTAAAGTAAAATGAACTCAGTATACCATGAAAAAAAAAAAAAACAGTTCGATCAAAAGTGATAAGTGTTATTTTAGTTCATAAAGGAATACTGCACTCCCAAAATTCAGAATTTATTTAAATACTCATGCCTTTTGCTTATTGACGATGCATTTTTCCCTCTAATGAATGACTTGGTAACTCTTTCAAAAGAAAACCAGCTTTGAACCTGCAGACTGCTGTGTTAAGGTGTTAAATCTGCAGCTGGAAAACAAGACATAGAAGGCTTCACTAATCCCAAATCCCAAGCTACAGCTGCTTGGTTACACAACTCCACAGCAAAGCTTTAAGTGAGACATAGATGAATGAATGAATGAATGAATGAATGAATGAATGAATGAATGAATGAATGAATGAATAACCCAGTTACACTGTAACTACAAGGACAGCAGAAGTCTTTGAATAGGAAATATGCCGAATACAGCAAGAAAAAGACCTTAATCAGCTGTTTGAACAGTGAAAGTTCAGTTATCTTCTGTCAGAGGAAGATAGCTGGTGATAGCATGTAAAGAAGACAGTTAATGATTCAATATAAAAAAATATATGAACTAGACACGCCCAAATATCATATCTGGAACAAAAACAGTGTTATTAACTCCTAGAAATTAATTACTATGATGGAAATTACCATTGTATCTCAATATAAAAAGTACACCAAGTCAATTAACTCAGTCAGTGCTTCTTAAGTGTTTCAAGCAACTGGTAGTAGTAGTAGTATCGGGCTTATCTGTAGACCTAGCTTACAAGTGTCAGATAAGTTCACTGGCTAGCTCTGACAGCTAAAGTTAGCTAATGTCTAAAAYGTACTTCTTTGCCTGCTCTGTAACACTGACACCTATGTACTCCGCCCAGCACAATAAAGATAGAACTGACGTTTACTTTACTTATGGTTGTGTTCACCGTTAGCTCACGCTAACAGGTTTGGTTTCGCCTGCGGTAAGGGAATCCTGAAACCTTATAGCAATGTGGTCGAAGATAGTGTGGGCAACTTCATACTTACAGGATGCCAGAGCAGGAGGTGCACACGAAAGAGCCCACAGTCATGTTGGCATAGGTTGGGCCGCGCTGATCGCAGTCAAAGCACTTTCTGTTGGGAGGCAAACTCGTCATTTCCCTCAGCATCTTCAGGTGTTTCTCCTCTTGTTTTCGTTTCGCGCTCGCCGCCATGGTGAAATGTATAAACAACGCAGATAATTAAAGCCGACGAGGGGTCGAAAGGTCAGCTAGAACTAAAACAAAGGGCTGTGCTCTCGGTTGCCGAGAATGCCGACTCGTGCTAACCGCAGCCAAGGGGGTGGGCGAAGTAGCTCGGTTGTCAGGGCGGCCTCGCGTCTCCTCCTCGAACAAGATCAAAGGGAAGCAAGACGCTTCCTCCCATCTACTTCCGCTTTCACCTAAATTCATTTTATGCATAGTGCAACGCTTCTTTAAATTGAACCATTTTACAAAAAAACTTTTGGAAGTAAAACAACATTGTGACAACACAGTTAAACAATAATGTAGCCCAAATGACGTTTGASTGGTGTGCAAGGAATTGTATGAATTAGCGTCGTCTCGACAAATGATTTGTTCTTTGAATTAATCTGATAATTTACCTATGACTAAAAACTCATCTGATAATATACTTACGACTAAAATATTTAGACTCCAATGTCTGAAATTTGAGCTTAAAATATRATGTATGGTAAGAGCAAGAACTTTATATAGAACAGCAAATCTATGGGTAAGAGTAGGACTCATCTTGTCATACAAGCTCTTTGGCAATCCTTATGACAGTGCAGAAAACGAAGTGTTGTAACACACCAGCGCCACCCTGTGGATAAACGTAGTCACTGCAATAATAATGTAGGAGCTGATTGACGAGGAGCTCAAAGAATTTAACTTTGTAAGCCATTAAGCGTATCACTTAACAGTTAATTGTAATTTCTTTTAGGAAAATGCGTTCATAAAAATGTTTCAGAGCTAAGAGTTAACCTATTATATGAATTTCGTTGATATTAAAAGATTTTAAGTGGGTGTAAAGCAGAAATATGCAAATGACATATCTACTCTCCAACATTGAAAATTATAGTTGTTTTTAAAAGAYGTGCATTTAAATTATTGATACTCTGTCATTTGTCTGATATAACTTGTTAAAAAAAGGAAACTTAAAAAATATATCATAATAATATACACATATTTATATTTTATTACACTCAAACAACATAACAGGATCCAAAGTACACAAACATCTGCATTATTTACAAGTGAATGATCAGATGTCAGGGCTAATTTGTAGAATACACAAATTATCCAGCAGATTATTAACCACCAAAAATACCTACTAAATATATTAACCTCAAATAGATGGTACATTTAATTCTGTAGATAGTGGGCTTCTTATTTGGATGTTAAGGACTCTGCTGCTCCAATTTTAAAAAGTCAGAATTGTTCTATATTGACTGTAGGACTTAAACTTATCTGTGAAATTTAGTTTTATTCTGGTGTATTTTTGTTATGAATCAATTGCTGCTGGCARATTGAAGTAACGGCTGTTGTTGTGGTAAAAAGTCAAAGGGTTTGCGGCTGTCAGTGTAGCCGTAAAGTTGGCGAAGGGCTACGCGTGCTGCTTCCTCCTCAGCTGCAATAAGTGTCTCTCCTGGACCCTGCGCCAGGAGCTTCTTGTCGCTGTTATCCAGAAGAAGACAAGAAAACAAGAGCTTTAGAAATTAATACTTATTGTGTGTTTTGTCTAGCACCAAACGCTCAAAAACAACTTGATGTTGCACAATTGGTCATGAAGTTGCCTTGTATTTCAATAATTTTAAATG